ACAACACTCAATCACTCTAAACTCAAACCGCAAACAACAACACAACATCAATCAAGTCTCAACATCAATTCCCTTTCACATATCAAACATCTAATCACAAATTATTAACTCTAAACCATGGTAATATTCGATAATCAATCACTACACCGACTCTCCTCACTACATGTATCTCAAAACCAAACTTACTTTCATTCTCCATATCCTATAAACCAAACATACCCAATTCATATACATTTTCTCCCTAACTTATAGTCATGGGTTTAACAAGCATCTTATCAGTTGGATTCAACTTACTCGGTCAAAAACCATACGAAAATTGCATATTGGATCTAAAAGTCTAAAATCCCCAACATACTTTCTATTATAACATATACCAAGTCTAAAATGTTACCATGTCTCCCCCAATTTCGTAGCACAAACTAGCTTACTAAAGACAATACTTTAGTTTCGTGTACAACTTACAAGTTTCCCCCAATTTTCCCAATTTTTATCTAACCTAAAATACAAATTACGACGAAAAAAACAGAATAAATCACTTACAAAGACAAAAGATGTCAATCCGGAGATGGAGGTTCGATTATCACAGACAAAGAAGAAGAAACGAAGAGAATGGAGGAATCGAGGATTTAGGGTTCATCGTCGTTTCTATCGGAAAAGAGAGAGGAGTTGGGTTCGACACTTGTAAAAATTGAGAAGAGAAGTTAATTACGAAAAGGCAACGTTTAAATTTAGGAACCGGGTTGGATCTGGATTACTATGGTCAGATAAGGTAATTAGGTGAATTTCATCAGGATCTTTTTGTTTTTAATCACATTTGGACCATTTTTTTCATTTAAAAAAATAAAAATAAATGAAGGGAGAATAGGGAATTCTCGAAGGCATGGGGGTACATGGAGTTAAGCTCCTTTATAATATGCTGCGACCAATAATACCAAAACAACTTTCCTTCCCCACAATCTTTTTCTTCTCCGACAGACAACAAACATCACCTTATCTCTGCTGCTTTGTCTAACAATTATCATCGTGATGTGACAAGCTCAATCAACCCACAATCATACCACGTCTCGAAGCTCCACTCCTTCTCGTCCTCTGTTTGATCTTTTCCGCCGTCGTTGTTCCATAACGTCGTTGTCGTTCCGTCGCGCCACCGGAAAATGGCCAATTTGATTTCATAGATCTAGGGAATTTTTCAAACTTTAATATTTTTGCATCTTAGGTCCCTGTATTTTTTTATTCTTCTTAATTTGGCATCAAACTCTTTAAAAGTTTAGCTTTCTCTTCGAATTCAGCCTAAACTTCTAGATTGCGCATCTCAACCCCCCAGAAAATACAAATATTTATGAAAATACAAAACAAAAACCAAGTGATGGAAATAAACAAAAAAATATATTAAGAATCAATAAAATCATAAAACATCACTATATTTCCAAATGTCCATATGTACATCATTTTCCTTTTTTTTTTTGAAACTGTACATCATTTTCCTATAACTACAAATGTAGACAAAAAAACTTTTATTTGTAAATAATATGACATTATTTTTGATATATTTCTTCTAGAAATTGAGATGTTTTTGCGAAAGGAAAAACCAGTTTGAGAAATAGTCAAATTTTACAATTAGAAATTGTAATAGATAAATTCACTCTTAAAAATAATTAGATGGACATTATAATCAACATTAACAATTGGTCATACATGTGAGTGAGTGTAAATTTGTACATGTGTACACATATTACATGCGTACATATGTGAATCTTCACATGTGTACATATTTCGTCCGTCTAAGGCTAATGAACATCCGCGCACTCGGCTGTGGCCCCTATTCCGAGCGACATGCATTGTAATATTTTTTTCTAGTCTCAAAAGTTTTGTTTACTAATCATGCAATTACTATATAATGTTTTTTCCGAGTTTTGATCTTATTCACATATTATCGCAAATTACTTTCTGATAGATCATCCATTAATCCAGTTCAAACACTCTTAACTTTAAAAAAAAAATCTAAATCTCTAATCAAAAGAGTAAATGAACTTTATAATATAAGTAACAAATTAATCCTTTTAAGTTTTGTTGACATATACAAGAAACTCTGTGATGTTACATTCCCTTTCTTCAAGATTGATTCTCCTGTCTGGACTTCAACTTCTTCCCCGGTCCATCTCGGAACAAAAGAGTTTACAGAATTGCCGGTCGCGATGACTAGGTTGTGACTATCGAACACGACTGAGAAAGCTTGAGCCCAAGTGAAGTCTCTGGATCTACCAGCAGGTCTTGTACCTGTAAAAAGAAATTATATTGTTTTAAGCATATCAAGAGAGTCGTTGATCAGCCATTTTCTCCATTCCCCTAAAAATCAGCCATATCATATGCTCATTCCATTTGCATCCCCTTCCAAAAACAAACGTCATATCTCTCTTGTTGTTTATATATCACTCACATCAAGTATAAGAGAATAAAACCTAAGTTTTCTCTGAAATTCTATTCCCATAACCATATAAGCCGAGATGAATCCCCGAGAAGAATTAGGTGAGTTCTCTAAACTCTTCAATGGTTTCATGACTCTAATGAGAAAATTCATATTCAAAGTTCTATGCGTCGGTCCAATCCCGAACCACATCTCATTCATCATGGATGGAAACCGCAGATTCGCCAAGAAAAACAATCTTCAAGGCCTAGACGCAGGACACAGGGCCGGTTTCGTATCCGTGACATACGTTCTTCAATACTGCCAAGAGATTGGTGTACCGTACGTCACACTCTACGCCTTTGGTCACGATAATTTCAGGAGAGAAACTAAAGAAGTCAAGTGTGTGATGGATCTGATGCTAGAGAAAATAGAGATCACGATTGATCAAGCTATCTCCGGGAATGTAAAGAATGTGAAAGTGGTCTTTGCTGGTGATTTGAATATGTTAAACGAGCGTCTTAAAGCCGCAGCGCAGAGACTGATGGAGGTTACTGAAGAGAATATAGGTTTAATAGTTGTTGTTTGCGTTGCGTACAGCACAAGTCACGAGATTGTTCAGGCTATTAGAGAATCTTGTATAAGAAAATGTGAGGATGGAGATAGTCCTCAGGTTTTAGAGGTGAGTGATGTTGAAGAGTGTATGTATACATCTATTGTTCCTGATCCGGCTCTTGTAATAAGAACAGGAGGACGAGATCGGCTTAGTAACTTCATGACTTGGCAGACTTCAAGGTCTCTTCTTTATACCACGGCTGCTCTTTGGCCGGAGTTAGGTCTTTGGCATTTGGTTTGGGCCATTCTTAAATTCCAGAGGATGCAAGATTGCTTGCAGAAGAAGCGAAAACTTGAATAAATAGTTTTAAGTAGCAGAAACGATTTTAGATTTATAGGGAATAAACATTTTGAATTAAGGATAAGCAAATATTCGAATAAATTGTTTTAAATAGCAGAAATGACTTAAGATTTATAGGGAATAAGCATTTTAAAAGTATAAATAACAGTAAATGTTTTTACAAAACAGTTGCATAATATCTATGTATTGTTTTAAAAATTTTGGTAATTAAGATTAGTGTTTCATTGCCCTTTGTATAGAACCGGTCCTAAGCCCTAGCATGAACTCTTAACATCTATGTCGGAGTTACATGTTTCTTGTGGTACAAGAAACGATAAAATAGGAACAAGAAAACATAAGAAAAGCATTCTTATTATGTATTGAATTAAAAAAAAAAACAAATTAAAAGACATTTAACGATGCTCAAATACAGCAATGTAAATATATTTCGATTAATAAAATCAAACAGATCTTTGAACATTTAGTACCTCGTGACTCACTATTCCAGCTCAAGGGAAAAATTAAGTCTAGAGCTTTTTCTATTTGTGTGACTGACAGATAAATACATTTTGAAGATACAGGTAATTAATTAATTTCTTTTAAACTTTTTTGACATATATCATAAATTGGGATATTGTAATTCATTTTCTCCCACCAAGAGGAACATCCTCGTTGCACACCAGACTCGTCACCCATGTAAGTGTGAGACTATGCGTGATTCTACATTTGTCTGGATTCGGTTTTGATACCACTTGTAACACTTCTCTCGCCCATGGCTAATAAGCTTCCTATGCATGCACATTCGGCATGTGACCCCATTCCAAGTGACGGTGCATTAATTTTCTGGAATCTCAAATGTTTTGTTTACTAACCATACAATCACTACATAATATTTTTTTCTATGTTTTGACCTCATTCACACATTATTGCAGATTACTTTTTGACCGATCATCCATTATTCTAGTTCAAACATATTTAACTTTAAAAACATTCTAAATGTGTAATCCAAAAAGTAAATGAACTTCATAATATAAGTAACAAATCAATCCTTTTAAATTTTTTGACATATACAACAAACTCTGTGATGTTACATTCCCTTTCTTCAAGATTGATTCTCCATTCTTACTTCACCTCCTGTCGGGACTTCAACTTTCCCCGTTCCATCTCAGAACTATCTTAACATGACTGAGAAAGCTTGAGCCCAAGTGAAGTCTCTGGTTCTACTAGCAGGTCTTGTACCTATTAAAAAAAATTATACTCCCTCCATTTCAGAATATATGTCATTCTAGGCTTATTTTTCTGTCACAAATTAAGTGTTGTTTTAGAGTTTCGAGACAAAATTTATTAGTTTTATATAATATTATATTTTTCTATTGGTTGAAAAGTGGTTAGATGTATGGGTAATTGTGTTTTTATTTTGGAAATATGTAAAATTAAATATTTCCTTAATCTGTGTGTAAAAACCTAGAATGACAACTAAAGTAAAACGGAGGGAGTATTGTTTTAAGCATATCAAGAGATCAGCCATTTTCTCCATTCCCCTAAAAATAAGCCATATCACATGCTCATACCATTTGCATTCCCTTCCAAAAACAAACGTCATATCTCTCTCTTGTTGTTTATATATCACTCACATCAAGTACAAGAGAATAAAACCTAAGTGTTCTTTGAAATTCTATTCCCATAACCATATAACCCAAAATGAATCCGCCCCGAGAAGAAGTAGGTGAATTCACTAAACTCCTCAACGGTTTCATGACTCTAATGAGAAGATTCATATTCAAAGTTCTATGCGTCGGTCCAATCCCTAACCACATCTCATTCATCATGGATGGAAACCGCAGATTCGCCAAGAAACACAATCTTCAAGGACTAGACGCAGGACACAGAGCCGGTTTCGTATCCGTGACATACGTTCTTCAGTACTGCCAAGAGATTGGTGTACCGTACGTCACACTCTACGCCTTTGGTCTCGACAACTTCAAGAGGGAGCCTCAAGAAGTCAAGTGTATGATGGATCTGATGCTGGAGAAAATCGAGCTCACGATAGATCAAGCCATCTCCGGGAATGTAAAGAATGTGAAAGTGATCTTTGCTGGTGATTTGAATTTGTTAAACGACCGTCTTAAAGCCGCAGCGCAGAGACTGATGGAAGTTACTGAGGAGAATAAGGGTTTAGTGGTTGTGGTTATCGTTGCGTACAGCACAAGTCACGAGATTGTTCAGGCTATTAAAGAATCTTGTGTAAGGAAGTGTGAGGGTGGAGATAGTCCTCAGGTTTTGAAGGTGAGTGATGTTGAAGAGTGTATGTATACATCTATTGTTCCGGATCCTGCTCTTGTAATAAGAACAGGGGGAATAGATAGGCTAAGTAACTTCATGACTTGGCAGACTTCAAGGTCTCTCCTTCATACCACGGCTGCTCTTTGGCCGGAGTTAGGTCTTTGGCATTTGGTTTGGGCCATTCTTAAGTTCCAGAGAATGCAAGATTACTTGCAGAAGAAGCAAAAGGTGGACTAAATAGTTTTAAGTTAAACCCTAGCAGAGCGGACATGAGATTTATGGAGCAATAAACATTTTAAACTAAGTATCAAAATTATGCTTTTACAAAGTAGAGACATAGAACTTATGTATATTAGTTCTTAAAAAAAAATTTGAGGGTTAAGACAAATGTTTCATTACAGTTATCCAGACTCACTCATGAACCCTAGTATGGAATCTTAACACCTATGTATGAGTTACATGTTTCTTGTAATCCAAGAAACAATAAATCATTACCAAAAAAAAAAAGACAGAAGAAAATCATTTTATTATGGATTGAATCCAAATAAAAACAAAACACACAGAACATCTCGAGTTTACGATGCTTAAACACTACTATTTAAACACATTTTGATTAAAAAAACAAACAGATCTTTGAACATTTAGTAGTTAGCCACTCCAGGACCAGGTCTGCCTTGGAACCTGCAGACCTTACAAAGAGGTGAGAACAAAGAAGGAGTCTGATACTTGTCTTCTCCACCCATCATTGGCATGGGAACACCAATCTTAACCGGACTAACGTAACCAGGCCTATATGTTTTCCCCAAAACACCCTCAACGAGATCACTCAAGCTAAAGAACTTAAACTGAGTCTCAAGATGAGCAAAAACATCATCTTCCGGCAACTGATAGTTATGAACTCTGTCCTCTTCTTTCCCTATTGGTCTAACCTTAATATCCATCTGAACAATACCAGATACCGTGACTCTCACGTTATTCCTCACATCTGTTCTCTCAACAACGACTTCTCTTTCTTCAAGACTGATTCTCCACTCTGCTTCACCTCTTGTAGGGACTTCAACTTCTTCCCCGTTCCATCTCACAACAAGAGAGTCTACATTCTCGTCCCAAGAGGAAACCTTCTTGGCAGCGATGACTAGGTTGTGAGTATCGAACATGACTGATAAGGCTTGAACCCATGTGAAGTCTCTGGTTCTACCAGCAGGTCTTGTACCGATAAAATGTGCGTTGATTTGAAGATTATCGTCAGAGACTATGGCGAAGTTCCCGTCTTTGTTTCCGTGGAAGTAAAACATCACTCCATCTCCTCCTACAAATCTAGGGTCGTAACATAAGGAACCATAACCATTGCAGTTTGCTTTCCTCCCTGCTCAACAAACACAAACCAATCAAGATGTGTACAAGCTTAACCGAAATATATATATATAATACATTTTGAGACTTACATTTGCATGTGACTTCACATTTGCTGCTACAATCAATGAAACATGCTTTCTCCTTTTTGTTCATCTGAGGTTTCCTTTCGGGGCATTCCTTGGGACAAGTGAGGATCTTCTGGTTGCAGTATCCTCTCGCCAAGCATTGAACTCGTTCTTGGCCTGAGCCAAGTGGAGATAACACGTTGTAGTTCGTTGAAGCTGCGTCATAAGCACCTTTCTTTGCTGCTGAAACCGCGGAAACAGAGACAAGAACGATGAAAATCACTAGGATTCGTGACATATTTCTTGTTCTTCAAGATGGTAACTTCTTGAGAAAAGGAAGAGGATATTGTTTTTAGGTTTATTTGTATACGATTTGAGAGAAGTGGAGGGAGTGTTCTTATAGAGAAGAGAGGCTGAAAGGAAGCAGCAGAGAGCGGCTTAATTAACGGTCATTATTTGATCAAACCACATGAAGAAACATTTTTGTTTATTAAAGTCCTTTGGGAGAACCACTACTCGATTCAAAACCTCGACCTGAATATTTAATTACTTTTTCTTTAAAAAATAAATAGGACAAATCTCCAAAATAATATATTTTTTAAGTTTATGTCTTAAAAATAGTTCTCAAAACATTAAATGTTATTATGATCATTTTTATTTGTAAACAAATTGTGAATACCTTAGACCTTGTTTCTACGAGGACGTAAGGTTTGCTATGTCAAATATGATATTCATCATGAGATTTAGTGAACCATAAAATAAAAAGGGTTTGTAGTTTTGAGAAATGTAACGTCAAAAGGTTGATGCATTTGTAGAATGTTCTGTTGGTATAAAACTACAAGTAATATGATTTATTTTCAAGTCACTGAAACGCTTTAGAAACACACGTTTGAACTTGAAATGCGTCTACATCATTTTACGTCGATGTATTGTTGTATACTTGTATACAAACAATAATCTGTTATGGTGTCCGTGTAAATTTTTTTCTTTTTTTTTTTACTAAAGTTCGTGTAATATAGCAGCAATTCAACTTTTTCACTATATCTGCGCGCCATGTATCATATATGTTTTTCCCAAGGGGCTGAGAAGCTAGTGAGAGCCATTGAAGACGGATCTACACATGCAATTTATTCATGATGCCAAGCGTGGTAGCGGAGTAATCATCATTGCGGAGTTGACATTACATATTTATTCATTTGATTATAATTTTATAAGTTGATTGGCTTTTGAAGTCATGTACTGATCATGTGATGTGTAACATAATTGAATTTCCTTGGATCACATGAATCTATGCCTAGAAAAGTGCAAGCTCTTTTTTATTAGTACTGACGTATTTGATTATTTAAATCTGATTTTTTTGTTATTGGTTTATAAATTGTAACGAAAAGAGTGTCTTTTAAGCATCTCCAGTTGTTTTTGAAAACCCCCAAAAAGACACTTGCTTCCAAAGTGAAGAATATCCAAAAAAAAACTTGATCCAAAAAATACAATGTCATATTCAAAATACAAGAATATACACACGATCTAATTATTTATACCTTATTATTTAAACATATTCGTATTCAAACACACATCAATGCAACAAGAGAAAGTTAAGAAATCAAGGGTTTGCTTCTGGCGCAAGAAACGTCTTACATTTCTTAAACCCTCAAAAACATCAGAAAACGAGCCAAGTACTTATCTTCTTGGCTCTTATTACATTACTTTTACATGAATATAGAATAGACAAAACAGATAAAATACGAATTTTTCATGAACTTTAAATAAAAATGATAGAAGTTGCCATACTTATTCTTCTTCTCATTAGATATCAGCAGAGAGTGGTTTTTCTTGAGGCTTAAACCTGCAGAGTCTGCACGTAGGCGAGAAAAGAGAAGGCGTTTGATACTTGTCTTCTCCTCCCATCACAGGCATTGGGACACCAGTCTTGGCCGTGCTAACGTAATCAGGACGGTAGGTTTTCCCCAAAACACCCTCAACGAGCTCGCTTAGGTCTAAGAATTTGAACTGAGTCTCAAGATGTGCAAAAGCATCATCTTTCGGCAACTGATAGTTGTGAACTCTGTCTTCTTCCTTCCCTATTGGTCTAACCTTAATATCCATCTGAACAAGACCAGAGACAAGTACTCTCACGCTGTTCCTCTCGTCTGTTCTTTCGATGACAATCTCTCTTTGTCCTGAGTTCACCTTCCATTCGGATTGTTCGTCTTCAGGTAGTGTGATGAGTTCTTCGTTGAATCTGATGGTAAAGGCGTCAGAAGTTTCATCCCATTGAGTTACTTTATTGGCTGTGATCACGAGCTTGTGACTCTCGAACATGACGTTTAGGGCTTGAACCCATGTGAAGTCTCTTGTTCTTCCAACGGGTCTTGTACCGATGAAGTGAGCATTGATCTGGAGGTTGTTGTCTGAAACTATGGCAAAGTTTCCTCCTTTGGATCCATGGAAATAGAACATCCTTCCGTCTCCTCCAACGAATCTAGGGTCGTAGCATAGAGAACCGTAGCCGTTACAGTTCGGTTTTCTCCCTGTAATAAAGAAGAAAATTAGAAGTTAAGCTTCCTTGTACCACAAGTAACTAATCAGTAACGAGATTACTTGTGTTTTAAGCAAAAATGAATCTAGTGGATAGAATGTACTTACATTTGCATGTAGCTTCACATTTGCTGGTGCAGTCAATGAAGCAACCTTTAGTGTTTTTGTTCTTGGTGGGTTTCCTCTTGGGACATTCAGCAGGACAAGCAAGAGTCTTGTAATAACATGCACCCTGACCCTGGCACATGGCCTGTTCTTGTCCTGTAGGCAACGGTGAAAGCATCCTGTATCTAGCAGCTGCTTCACTCTGCTCCTTGTCCCTCTTCTCTTTCTCCTTCCTCTCTTTTTCCTTCTTTTCTTTCTCCTTCCTCTCCTTATCCTTCTTCACCTTTTCGTCCTTCTCCTTCTTCTCCTTTTCCTTCTTGTCCTTGTCTTTCTTTTCTTTATCATCTTTGTCCTTCTTGTCCTTGTCCTTCTTTTCTTTGTCCTTTGGACCGTAACCGTTGCCATTACCTTTTCCCTTGTCATCATCATCTCCTCCTTTGCCCTTGTCTACTTGGCCGTTGCCGTTATTACCTTTGCCGCCATCGCTCTCAGCAATGACGATGTCGGTCAAAAGGAGTAATGCGAAGAGAGCGACAAGCACATATGACTTTCTGTGCTCCATCTCTCAAACTTTAAGTTTTCTTCTTTTGATTCTTCTTGTTTAGCTTCTTCTTTAGTATCTCAATATGTTTTGTTTGTGTGGTGGAATGTTGTTGAAGAAGAAGGGTTCTTATAGGGAAGAAAGAATTGAGTTGACATATTAAAACCTCATATGATAATATCCTTTGCTTCATCTTAATAAAGAAGCTGACTCTTTGAGTTCACCTCAAGTCAAAAAGTCTACTTGATGAAAGCTTCAACATCAAAACTATTAGCTAGAAGATTAATTTAGTGTTATCAAAAAACGTACGTAATTATATGTTCACACTGTTCTTTACCCGTTTCTCTAAGCTTCATGATCAAAACGTTATTTCAAATTACTTCATTTTTCCTGATAAAATTTATAAATAACCACTATAATAAGGTTGGCAACAGTCCGAAATTCATTAGTATGATGTGTTACTTGTAGATTTTTGTTTAGAATTCAACATTTTCATTGTTTTTTGCTCAAAGTTTTTTGCTAACATTACTAAATCATTACGTATAGATATTTATCTATAAACTTGTATGGAAAATAACCTAGTTGTTTGGTCTTAATGCGCAAGAAAGGAGCAAGCTAGAACGTGAGGAAGCCTTAAATGAAGAAGAAAGCCCCTCATGTCTGTAAATGTGTGTGTTCCAAGAAACTTTTCTTGACTTTCATTGGTCCACAAGCCGCCCACTACTACAGGCTTTGCACCTTAACGAGACAACAAAGAAAAGTCAAACACGCCAAACAGTTGACCGGTTTATTATGAACCAGTTTAGCATCTAAACTCTTGAGCCAAAAACCAAACCAAAATATACTATCAAAGTCTCGTTCTGTTCTGTTTAAGAAGCTGCCAGTTTTCTTAAGCTCAAAATTCTTGGCCAAAAGACCTATCACAATTGACAAGACACAAACAAAACTGAACAAAGGAAACCGATTTAATTAAACGGTATAAAAGTTGTGTCAAGAAAACAAGTAGATGATTCAGTGTGAATTTTTTTTGTGCAAAATGCAAACTAGATTGACATTTTTCTTTCCAAAACATCAAAAGAATCTGACACTTTCCTATAGTATTTTTTTTTTATTTCAAGAGAAGTGAGTGTCTTCTCTCTATTTTAGTTCTGATATATAGGAATATCAGGCTTCGCTTGCGCAGTACCAACACTGGATTCTCCAACAGAAACAATAGTGCTACTAGTGCTTGAAGTAGCTTCTTCTTCCATCTCTGTGGTCATCTTCATGAAATAACTGTGCCTGTGAAAAAAATATTGACCACAAAAGAGTAAAAATCAAAGCATACCAGATCATAATAACCATTGCAGACAAGGAGAAGAATTAAAAGTAATAACCATCGCGTGTCTGCGGTTAACTCGGGATGAAACGCAGTTGCTAACAAGTTTCTTTGCTTCACAGCAACAATAACGTTCGTTTCTGGAAGAGCATCTTCCTAAAAAAGACACAAAACGTGACTCATACATGTCCTCATACAAAAAAAGGTAATCATTTTCATTAGCAGTGGTGCAAAAAAAGAAGTCAAACCTCTTGGATTTGGACAGTAGAGCTTGAATACAAGACTTTGTTCGATGGGACGGGATAATGCGCTAAGACTTCGACATCAGGGCCAACGTCGAGAACGGCTGGTGCACGTATGAAGACTCCACGGAACGTCTCTGCTCCACCTTCTTTAGATGTTAGTAGAGGTACTGAGATATCAGCTTCAAAACTTTGAATCTACACATTACAGAAAAAGAGTGATACCAAGCTTTTGCAACCCTTTATTGTTTAAGAACACTCTTTAAGATTTCTTTTTACCTGGCTGCCAAAGAAGTTCCTATGCACGGTGCAATCAAGCCCACCTACTAGTTCTTGACCTCCCTCTTTCTGACCTGAACAACATTTTTCTCGTTATTTTGTTTTTTCTTTGTTTTTAATAAGGTCGCAACACAAGTTGATGGGAAGATGAATACAGTAAGTACTCACCAACGGCTCTGTCAGCCAAGAAGATAAGACCAGCGCACGTCCCCCAAACAGGTTTCCCCGTCTTAACAAACTCACGAAGAGCCGGAAACTTCAAAAGAAGCAAATGAAAGAAAGTCACAACACACAAGAGACTTGTATAACTCTATTTGTCATCAGGAATCACTAAAAACTGAATATAGATAACCAAATCAAGTTTGAAGTTAAAACTAAACGTAAATCAAAAGCTCCTCTTAACTCTAGACTATGACTCGCAAATATAAATGTTTCTGTAAAGACAGGAACATCATTTCATAGGATCATCATCTAATTAACGACTAACTCCTTCAGATTAGTTTTCTCCACTAAGCCATGAGTGTCACTTAATCAAACATTGGAACGTAAAACAGAGAAACCACATATGTATTTGTAAATTAAAAGTCTTTTTCAATCTAAAAGCCAATCTTTTTGAAGACCACTAACAAAGTTCCTCTTTCAGGAATTAAAGACGATCAAACCACAAATATTCTCAACTTTACAGACATCATTTCTCCAAAAAGATCAGAACTTTTGAACAAAAGAAGTTTCATTAAGACAAAAACTCAAATTCTAAATTGCCTGATTAGTGATAAACGACAGATTCGTTTCAACACACAATACATAAAAAGAAGAAATCTTTCTTTGTTTCACGAAAGTGGGTCCTCGTAAAAGCAATAAATTTCATTCCCAGACAATTGGATTTACTGAAAAACAAAAACAAACGTAAAGATTCTAAAGAGAACGAGAGAGAGCAAGGACCAGGTTGTGGTACTCGGCGAGTTTGGCCATGGTGGTGCTCTCTCCGCCAGGGATTATGAGAGATGAAACGGTGAGAAGCTGTTCTACCTTCCTAATCTCGATTCCTTGGACGCCGAGCCGCCGCAGAGCCGCGATGTGCTCATTGAAAGAGCCTTGCAAAGCTAATACTCCCACGGTCATCGCTGCGGCGGCGTGATGAGAAAGAGAGAGAGATTAGGGAGAGAGTGTGTGTGTGTCAGATAATAAACACCACTAACTAAATAGAGCGTTGTGTTGTGTATTGACTCAGACAAAGGCTTGTGTTTTGCGAGTGGCGACGAATTTCTTTTCCCCATTTGTTTTGTGTTCCTTCGCCGCCCACGATTTTGATTTTTTCTCCGGAAATAATACAAAAAAAGGAAAAAAAGTTTTAAATTTCTTTTTCATATTTATCACTTTTTCATATTATCACATAGTTGTACGTATAGATTTAGCTTACCATATTTCACACACTAAATCAATACGTACATAATTCTTAAGCTTAACAAGATTTCAAAACATGGTTTCCTATAATTTAAGAAAATAAAGAATAAACATACCAATTTTTATTATATAAGGTTTGATAAAATGGATATGATTGCATATATAGATATCTCACATGAATTTTTTTATTATTCATATATATATATATATATATATTTGTGTGTGTGTGGCCTTGTTTCATCTTGAGTGAGTTTATATGTTATTAGAATTAAGAATAGGCATATTCCGGTAAATTTGATCTGATCTAAAAATTCTGATATTCATAAAACTTTGAATGAAAATAAATAGCAAAATATGATATTCATAACAAACAAAGTAAGTCACAAATATTAAATGATTTACATAAAAAAAACTGAGTATAGATATAAATGAATAAACGTTTTGACTGATGAATTCGATTTTGAATGGTCGTTAGGCCATCCTAATAAAGATCATCCAATTCTAAAACAAAAATATTTTATTAATGTTCAAAAACATTACTGAAGTAACATAGAGAGAAAAAAATAGTTTTTTTTTTGTTACAACTAGAGATGAGCGTTAGGGTACCCATTCGAGTTCGGTTTGGATCTATTCAGGTTTTGGATGAGCGTTAACCCCATTCGTATATTTCTAAATTTCTTTTCGGATTCGGTTCAGATCTTTGCGGGCTCGGTTTGGGTTTAGATAACTCATTTAAATTCTTTTTAAAAAAAATTAAATTGATTATATAACTTAAATTTCTAAAAATCTATAAAAAAATAATATATTACAAATGATTGAATAACATAAATTAAAATACCTAGAATTAACATAAAATTAGTTTGATTTGAATATTTGGGTTGTGAATAAATAACTTTTAAGTATTTTTTATGTTTTGAGTGTTCTTTAGCAATTTAGACATGTATGTTTGACTATTTACATATATTTATCAGTATTTTGAACAACTTCAAAGTATTTTATATATATATTGAATGTTTTTTATATACATTAAATCTAAAATAATTAATATATATAGGTATATAAATCTCTTTTGGATATATTCGGATATTTGAAATACTTTGGTTCGGATCGGGTTCAGTTTTGGTTCTTTAGATACCAAAATTTTGAACCCATTTGGATATTGAATCAATTTCGTTTCGGACTCGATACTACTATTTTGGATCTGGTTCGCTTCGTTTCTTCGGATCTGGGTTTTTTGCCCAGCCCTAGTTACAACGATGATAAAATTAGGTCTGAGCACAGATTAGATATTTCGATTTTCGAAGGTATTTGTGATTTGTTTCGGATATCTAATTTTTTTATTTGTTTTACTTCGGTAAAATACGAATATTCGGAAAAATGGATATCCGAAAAATAAATAGATATTTGCGGATACTTATAAATACTTACGGATATCTCATCTGTTTGAATTAAAACAAATAATCTTAAAAAAATTGATACAAATTTATTGTGTGAAATATTTTTTTTTGCGTGATATAAAAGATAAAAATTAAAAGAAGTAGTGAATCTATATATTTTGTAATTTTTTAAAACTTAGTTAACAATTATAATAACACAAAACTTAAGAAAAATGTATAATTGTCATATTTTTTTCTCTTCCTTTTATGTACTACGTTTATATAAGTTATAATGTGAATAAAATTTGTCAAATCATATGTTAGAATAATAGTTATAACATCTTATACATTTAAAACTTTAAATATAATCAAGATATATGTATTAATATATTGTCGGATCGGATCGGATATCCGCTTTCCAATATATTAGTATTTGTGGTTTGCTTCACTTTTAACGGATATTCAATTTTAATATTTTCTTTACTTCGAAAGTTTACGAATATTCAAATTTTTCGAATCAAAGCGAAACGAATAACGAATCGAATCAAATTTAACAGATAAAATGTCAATTCTGGATACAAATCTCTTTTACACAAAAAGCAAGATATTGGTGGGACTAGTGCTTTGGTTGTAATAAGTTGCATAGATGCTTAGGGGGGGGGGGGGATCATTCCATTCCATGCTCAAAAAACCAACTCCAGGTAGGTAGCAGGTGGGTAACCTTTTTTATTTTTAGAACAAATAAACTTTTTGTGTGTTTAAAATATTTGTCACCCTTAGCTGGTAAAGTTTGAATTTCTATAAATTAAATGAAAAATTATATAAACCCAAAAAGGAAGAAAAAAAAAAGACACAGAAGGGGGAGAGAGAAGATATCGGTCCAAAGACTCCTTTCAAAATCTCTCTTTCATATTTTGTTGGTCTAAATCTCTCTCACGCACGTCCCCCATTTCTTCTTCTTCCGATCGAATCCCAAAACCAAGTTTGAATGTAAGATTCAATCTTTATCTCTCAATACTCTCAATCCCGTTCGTAATTTGCTTCTGGGATTTTTTAATTTTTTTTTCTCCTGCAACATTTGATCCCGAAATTAGGGTTTTCTTTTAGGGAGATTCTGGGTTTGTTATATACTCTCGCATTATTCGATTTACATCGTATTTTGTGTATACTGTTGATTTGGGTTGAAAAAGTGTTCACCTTTCTTCGTCAGGAATCAAGTTTTGTGGGTTTCGATTCGTGTTAATTTCACTAATCAAACACAAAGTTATTAACTTTTCTTATAAAACAAGACGTCTTAGTGGTTTGTTTATCAACGAATTTAATGAGAGATATATTGATTTACCTTTCCTTTTTCCTGTGCAGAAGCCTTTATTTCACATCTTGACTTTATTGGTGAAGTTCTGTAGCTCTTAATAACTGAGGGCTATGCAGTCAACGAGTTGTTGCTGCTCCTCAACGTGAATAAGGAGATTAAAAGACACAACTTTTCTTTATAAGATTGCAGCTTTTTTTCAGACATGTCAAGTTTTGAATGCAGTGGTTATGATATCTTAACTTGTTCTGTTCATCTCGCTGAGTGGCATCCTTTGGAATAGCTAAACTTCATCTAAACCCCTTTTCTTGCTGGGGTAAGAGGCTTTTTGTGTGTTTTGTTATTTGGATGCTTGATTCGTCATTATGTTAATTTAATGTCACCTTTTTGTACAGGTTCTTCAGTTAATTTCAGCGTTTTATATTTTTAACCATACTTTTGAAGAAACAGATATTGTTTTTGTTTTTGTTTTTGGGGGAGGAGTTGGATCATGTTTCGTGATAATTTTTTGTTTGCCCGTACCATGGGTTGCTTTGGATGCTTTGGTACTTCTTCAACTAGAACCCGACAGTCTCCTGAGGCCTACGAGGATGATGCGTATTCGTACTCATGTGATAGTGATGTAACTAGCATGGTGAGAGGAGAAGATGAGGAAGATGATGAAGAAGTTGAGCAGAAGAGCCGTTCTCAGCGGTCTGAGGAAATTTTGAAATATAGATTAGATAATGGATTGATCTGCAGGCAAGTTCCTGTGAAAGAAACTAATGAACTTATCCGTGGAGAGGTAAATGTCACTTCTTATACCTCTTTCTTTCTCATATTCTTTGCCTAGGAAGTGTACGCATTTATCTTTCTTGTTTGATTTGTTTTCAGGATGAAAATGGGAACAAGATGATCAATGAGTATGTCCGTGTCTGTAAAATTGGATCCGGTAGCTATGGTAAAGTGGTAAGAGTGAATCTCATTTACAGTACTATCAATAAGTGTATCCTCCCAAAGCATCCCATAACGTTATCTTTTTTTTTGGCACTTAGGTTCTATATCGAAGCACCGTAGATGGCCAGCATTATGCTATCAAAGTAAGTATAATTTGTTTACTTGATCACTTATTAGGGTTAGATCTCTTACCTATTTTGGTTAATACTTGGGTTTCCAGGCGTTTCACAAGTCGCATTTAATAAGGCTAAGGGTTGCACCTTCAGAGACTGCTATGAGTGATGTTCTTCGTGAGGTATCATGCGTTTTCTGCATTGCAATACTATTGGTTTCGTTTTGGAGAAGCTGTGCTTACGCTCCTTTTTATCTAATTACATTCAGGTTATGATAATGAAAATTTTGGAGCATCCTAACATTGTCAATCTCATTGAGGTGATAGATGATCCAGAAACCGATCATTTTTACATGGGTACTCCTTTTCTTCATCTTTTATGCTGTGTACATACATACTTGCACTGCGTGCAAAGAGCCTCTTTATCTTATAATGTTTGTCTTTCTGGTTTTCACTCAGTTCTCGAATACATTGATGGAAAATGGGTTTACGACGATTCTGGACCGCCCGGTGCTCTCGGGGAGAAAACTGCTAGAAAGTACTTGCGGGATATAGTTGCTGGCCTGATGTACCTTCATGCTCATGTATGATTTTCTTTGTTTAGCAGTTCTTCTCTCAGTTCATGGTTCATCACCTAATACTGTCCTGATAATATTTGTATGTGGAAAACAATAACAGAATGTAATTCACGGGGACATTAAACCAGACAATCTGCTTGTTACTAGTAGCGGTACAGTGAAGATAGGAGATTTCAGTGTCAGCCAAGTATTCAAGGTAATCATTGATCGTTATCAATACTCCATATGTATCTTGTGGTGTAAGGATCTAATTGGTTGTTGTTACAGGATGATGATGATCAACTGCGTCGATCTCCGGGGACTCCAGTCTTCACTGCTCCAGAATGTTGTTTAGGTCAGCTTACTTAATCTCTGTAAGCTTGGTCCTGACTCATTTTTTGTGTGAAGAAAGAATAAGAGTATATCTTTTGTACTTGGATTCTGGAATCAGTGTCAGGTATAACGTATAGTGGAAGAGCTGCGGATACATGGGCAGTGGGAGTAACTTTGTATCATATGATATTGGGACAATATCCGTTTCTTGCTGATACTCTTCAGGATACGTACGACAAGGTAAGGGTTTTTGCCTCTCACAAATGGTTCTCTTGAGTAACGAGAAATCCTTCTGAATAACCCTAAATTTATCCATGACTTAAACAGATTGTTAACAACCCTTTGAGCATCCCGGATGGATTGAATCCTCTTCTAAGAGATTTGATCGAAGGTCTACTTTGCAAGAGTGAGTTGTTTTCATCATGTTGTTGTAGATAAACTTTAAACCCTGAATTATGCTAATGGATTAATGGTGGAATATTTATTACCTGTTGTTGTTTTGCAGATCCGAGTGAGAGAATGACACTGAAGAATGTGTTGGAGCATCCATGGGTCATGGAAGAAGAAGGGCATATCCCTGAGTATATTTGTTGCTGTAAACGACGTGATTCTGCCTTAAAGATTGAGCAAGAAGAAGAAGAAGGTAATGGGATCTCTGACATCTCAGATTCTAGCTGAAGACTTTGGAAGAAAAAGAAAAAAAAAAGATGCAGAGAATGTTAACAACAGGCTATCGCATCTCCTTGCCCCGTAAAACTTTGCGGTCTTTGTTTTTCTTTTCTGTAATATACTATAGATGATTGGCAGGTTCTTGTTATGTTGTTGTTTTATACTAAAGTTTTAAAATGAATTAAGAGTGATGTTGATTTTTGTAAGGCTCTGAATTTTTGTTTTCGTGGACGGGTTTGATATAAAAATATACAAAGATTCATTTCACCAAACGTATGAAGAATGCAACTCTCTTGGTAGAAACTGCTTTTATCTATGGATCAAAGACGCAAAGGTAAGAAGAGTATGCTGCCCCACGTAAGAGAGGTTGTCTTGTCGACAGGCTTGCAATGCGGGTTGGTTGTAACACTTTTTTCGGATGCAAGGGCAGAGGCGTTTTAAGCCCCCATTAAATCTAATCTGCTTGATCTTAAACATAACTTGCTACATAGATCTATGGTTGACTGAGTAAAGGAGATGGTTTCAACTGATGTTAAAGACATCGTTCGTTAGACTGATTATTGATTAGGAGGACTATTAAACCGAATTTTTGAACGCTTAGGCCGATTTTTATTTGAATTCGTTTTGTTTTTAGAACTTTGTTTTCTGAATTCTTCCAAAGATAGTAAAGAATCCAAGAGGGAAACCTTTGGCTCCTTCCGTTTCTTGAGTTAGGCCTTTAGAATTTATTTGCAGGCTATTGTGTGAGTTGTTTGTTCGTATTTGCAACTGTAACTAGAAACGCATCTCAAAGTTTCACTGAATCCTTTCATCAAAACGTTTTATAAATTCTTAATTTAAAGAAAAAACACATCACAAAACATTTTGGGGGGTTAAAATAGAAAAAAGTATAAAGCTAAGGATTGGAATAAAAACATAAGCTTATTGTACAGTTATGTCTCTTTTTGGCTTTGCTTTGTCACAACAACACTTCTTTACAACAACGCAAACCTTCTTCTCACAAAACTCAGTTTTTCAGTTTCTCTCTCTCTCTCTCTGTTCCGCACTAATCTTCTATTCATTCTCTCTCTCTCTCAACCTTTCTGACTCCATGACGGTCGCCGGCGAAAGTTTCACCGGGTAAATAGTTTCACCGGAATAAGACAGGACAACGAGATCTAAATCCAACCAATTGGAACATTTATCGGTAAGCATATAGTAGTCTTCTTCTCTTTTCTGTTTTATTGGTTTCAATCCTTTTTTTGTTGTGTTCTCTGCTTCCGTCGCTTAGTTCCTTTTTGATGATCCTTAATTTCGGATCTGGGGGCGCATTTTCCAATCTCAGATTATTATTTCTTTTATTGGGGTTTCAACTCTCTGATTCGGATCTGCTTTCTCATATATTAGGGCGGGCTTATGATTGTTCATTGTTTTTCGTTTGGCTTCTGTTAAAATCCGAATAAAAAGATGCCTTTTTAACAGTTCTTTCCACTTTTCTTTGATTAAAAAAACTTTCAAGATTCTGATTATTGTGTTTTTTTTTGGTGATTAGTACAGATTAATTTTGGGGATTTTTTTTGCATTGGTCTGAAGATTGTCCATACTCTGGAGGAACTCATTGGTTTTGAGGATGTGTGTTATTATTTGTTTGGATTCTTTGAGAATTTGATGGAACAAATAAAAAGAGATGGAGATTGTTTTGGAGCAGCAGTCGCAATCTGTCTCTCTGGATACTCGGACAAGAGTTTCTCAACTGAGAAACAGCTGTAATGATACTTGAAGAACAGTCTTGACAGGATTTGTTGTTTTTCTTTTTTTTCTTTTTTACTTTTGTTTTTTTTGGGTGGATTCTTTTGTATTCAAATAGGGGTTTTAACAATAATGGCTGCTGAAGAACAATCTCCTGAGAGAAGAGAAGTCTCTACTTCTTCTTCTGCTTCTGTTGTAGAGAACGATGCTCAACGCTCGAGGCTGGGATCAAGTGACTCGCTTCTCCCAGGTCTTATCGACGACGTTGCTCTAAACTGTCTCGCTTGGGTTCCAAGAATGGACTACCCTTCCCTCTCTTGCGTAAGCAAGAAGTACAACAACTTGATCAAGAGCGGTCATCTGTTTGCTCTCAGCAAACAAATGGGTGTCAAAGAGTATCACGTCTTCATGGTCTGTGACCCTAGAGGTTGGTTAATGTTCTCCCCCATGAAAAAGAAATGGACGGTTCTTCCCAAAATGCCCTGTGACGAGTGCTTCAACCACGCTGACAAAGAGTCTTTAGCCGTGGACGACGAGCTTCTCGTCTTCGGTAGAGAGATGTTTCAGTTTGCTATATGGAAATACGGTTTAAGGTCTCGGCGTTGGGTCAAGTGCGAAGGGATGCACCGTCCTCGATGCTTGTTTGCGTCAGGAAGCTTAGGAGGGATCGCTATTGTAGCCGGAGGGACTGATATGAATGGGAATGTATTGGCTTCTGCTGAGCTTTATGATTCTTCTTCAGGGAGATGGGAGATGCTTCCCAACATGCATTCTCCTAGGAGACTGTGTTCAGGGTTCTTTATGGACGGGAGATTCTACGTGGTTGGAGGAATGTCAAGCCCTAACGTATCCGTTACTTACGGGGAAGAGTTTGATCTTGAGACGAGGAAGTGGAGGACGATAGAAGGGATGTATCCTAATGTGAACAGAGCAGCTCAGGCTCCACCTCTTGTTGTGGTGGTTAACAACGAGCTTTTCACGCTGGAGTATTTGACGAATATGGTGAAGAGGTATGATAAGGAGAGGAACATGTGGGAAGTGATGGGACGGTTACCGCCGATTGTGGACTCGTCTAACGGTTGGGGTTTAGCGTTTAAACCGTGTGGTGATAGGTTGTTGGTTGTGTGTGGACAACGAGGGAGAAACGGTGAGGGGATTGTTGTGAATGCTTGGTGTCCCAAGTCGGGAGGTAGAGATGGGAACTTGGATTGGAAAGTGATTGGTGTTAAAGAGAATGTTGGTGTCTTTGTTTATAACTGCGCTGTGATGGGTTGTTGAAAAAAGATTGGAAGTTTGGTTCTTTGTATTACACTCTCTGGTTCGGTCTTGATCTTCTTCTCTCCTGTCTTTTTAGTTGTTCTTGTTTTATTTTGCTCTTCTTCTTCTGCTTGGGATTACAATGCTTTTGTATTTTGTTATGATTTTTGTGTAAACTGGAAAAGGAAAGAAAATTCATTACTCTTCAAAATATCTATTATATTAAAATAGAAGTCATAACTCATTTCATGTGATTTTTTAGTTTGGACCATCCATAGAAAGTTTATAAAATTTTACTTAACATCATCTAATATCTTTTAATATCTTTAATTTTTATTTTAAATACAAATAATATATTTAAAAAGCTTCTAACAAAATCTTTTTAAAATCTTGAGAATATTTTCAAGATTTAGTTCCGAAAATTATTTGATTAATATTTTAATTATCATAAAATATAATTAAAATTTTAACTCATTTTTGATTCATTAAAAGAATGAAAATTTATGTAAAATACTTTTGACACAATCCCAAAAAATTGTTTATATATTATGTAGGTCCAAATTAATTTAAATTTTACATATATTTCAAATTTAGAAATAAACAAAATATGTAAATTAGTAATGTTACATAATAATGTTCTTAAAATTGTTAATAAAATACAAATTTTATATTAATAATATTAGAAGCCACATAAACATTATTATAAAATCAGATAGTATACAACATCAAATTATATTTCTTTATTAATAAATTTTATTATATAATTTAAAATATTTTAGTTTTAAAATACCCGCACGGTCGTGCGGGTCTAGATCTAGTTCCTCTTTTTTAAAGCTTAATTCATCATTTACTTGAATAAAAAGGGACAAAAAATATCTAATATGTGTATATTGTTGTGTTTAATTTTTGGTAAAAGTATATACATTTAGTTCACAAATGTTGTAGGTTCATAATTCACATGTTTAGCCCATTAAAACAAACGAGCTTTGAAGATTATCTATCACCAGCCGAGCTTAAACGGGCTTTAGATATCAAGATTCTACAATCTACACGAACGAAGTATAAATATAGAAATTTATTTTGTCGGCAGCTAGAGCTGGGAATATGATTCATTACCCGCGAGTCCCGCCCGTTTTACCCGCTGTAGGGTGGGTGCGGATTGAACAATTTGAAAAAATCGATTGGCGGGTGCGGGTTATGAATATTTTATGCGGGGTGGGTGCGGGTTGGAGGATTTTGAATCGCGGGTACCCGCCAACCCGCAAAAAAAAAAATTTCATTTTTTTTTAAAATTGTGTTTTTTTTGTAAGAAAATAGTATTTTTTTTGGAAAATAAATATTTTTTTGTAAATACGGTATTTTTTTAAAAATAATAATAATTAAAAAAATTTAAAATATATAATTTTATTATAAATATATTATTTCTATTATTTTTTCATAAAAAAATAAATTAAAAAATTATTTTTTAAAAATATACATATAACCCGCGGGTTCCGTGGGTTACCCGCAAAATTAAACGGGACGGGTGCGGGTGTAAATTTATACGTCTGCGGGTTATGCGGATCGGATTTTTTGACAAAAAAAATAACTAAAATCCGCGGATTGACGGGTCAACGGGGCGGGTTTGACCCGCAACCCAGCCCTATCGGCAGCATATGAAATGTACTTTTGAGACTTGATATCATTTATGATTCCATTTCTATACATCTAAAACCTTGCTTATAGACAGGTCAGCAAAAGTACAAGAGACAAAGAATGATGTAGATATCGTTTTCATGTCCGAACTTCTCAGTAGTCCCAAAGAGATAATGACGTGTCGATCTAGCTAATGAATTTGATTTTCGTGTTTACATGATCTATTGAATTTGATTTCGTGTTTACATACATGCCTTGTATTTGCAATTTTGCAATTGTATTTTTCTTTATTTTTATCTCTAAAATAGAAGAACTCTATATTAGAGATGTCTTGGATTTGCAATTTTTCAATTTAGATCATCTTTAATGTATTTTTTTATTTTTTCCTCTAAAATAGAAGAGTTATATAATAGAAATAGATTTTACTTCAATATATTTCTCTAAAATAGAGATCTTCGAATATAGAATAAAATATAGAGACTGTATTTGTTGATCTATAAATAGAGGAATAAATAGTAATCTTTATTTTAGAGATGAAAATAAAGATGGATTGGAATGGTTTTATCTCTAAATACTATTATAGAGGTCAATAGGAGAGGGTCAGAGATGTTCTTAATCATGTGGTTCCCAAAAGAACTAGTTTTGCAAACTTGCTTCTTTTCTTTTGCATGTGTGAGAGAAAAACTTAACATGTGATACGAGATTGTATTTTGTACTACATACCAGTAACTTGTAAGTTGTAACTCGTTGACAAAAAAAAACTAATAACTTGTTGCTGACAGACAAAATAGTAACTTGTTTTAAATAAGCACAAGAGCTTAATTATAATAAATATTAATGGGTGAATTTCAAATATTAGTTATTTCCATGGAATTTAAGAAAAGTTATGAAAATATGTGGTAGATGGATTGAATTCCATGCATGTGATTTTTGCTAATTAAAGGAACCATTATAACTATTACTTATGTGAAAACATTATTATTAACTATGTTAAAACTCTAATGAAGGACCAAAATGCTGAGTACAGTTCAACAAAGTTACTTTTGAAATGATTATTTTGTTAAAAGATATAGTATTCAAGAATACGTATTTAAATTTTTTGGAAAAGACAAAATTTTATGGTTGTGTCAAAACCCCACTAAGGTCACTGTAATGCAGGCTTTATATAGAATCTTGTAGTTGGTGCTTTCCCCCAAACAATGTGGGTCGTCGAGCATGATACTCACGTCTGTGTACATAATTAGTCTACACTGTTTTTTTTTTTTTTTGAAAATTGGCTTTAGTCTACACATTGTTACGTATCACACACTTTGTTTGCGTTATCCTACGAACTATCTATTTTTTTGCTGAACCCCATCCAACCTAGGTTTAATATTTGTGATTTTCTAAAGTTTTAGTGACTAGCAGTCAAATTTAAAATTTTTGTATTAAAGAGTAGATCAAATATGCTTTTCAATATTAGATCAAACACACTTATCATTCGTGTTATATAGAAACTTATATAGCTTGTCAGTTAGAAAGTCATCAATAGCTTCTAATACGTGTAAGAAGCTTTATTGTGATACATGTAACAGTCCTAGTCATTACAAAAAGGGAAACATATATAATCCTATAGTGCTGTACATATGTACAGAGTAGAATGGGCTTTGCCTACCAATATGCTTTAATTAGCCTTTGGTGTATCGGCCAATATTGGTGTTAGGTTTGTATGACTTAGGTATACCTTTCACGTAGTCGGTAGGTTTGGCCATTCAGATATCAAACATCCCAATCCAAATGTATATACTCGATTAGATTCTCTTTTACTTATTTTTATGACTTTTAACTTCTTCTTATCTCTATGCTTATGATGGGATAACGGGCGTGCCTGACTATAACCGGATCAAACATCTGGTGGAGGACCAACAGTTATAAAATAAACTATTGGGATCAATTTTCAAGATAATTAAGTAGCTGAGATGGTGGAAACAATTTTTAAAAGTTTTATTTCTTTCAATTTAGGTTCGAGTACTGACTACTGAGTATTATTTATTAAATTTATTTTATTTTATGGGGCCAATTTTTTTTTTGCTTATGGAGCAGCAAATATCAGGCACATCCCTGGATGGGATCCAGTAGGCAATTATTTTGTTACGCTCGTATATCGTTTGGATTTCAAATACCATAACAAATTATTCTGTCACGAAATTGTGGTTCTATGGTCAATATGCTTAAGATTTGTGTATTCGCTGTGTATCTTACAAACGTTAGATTGTTTTTTCGAAATTATATTCTAACAATCTTTAGATCTGTCTTTTTCTTCTCGTATATATATGCTACGATAAAAATGTGATAAATAATATATACTAAGTTTCGCAATTACATTTTAATTTATATATAATAATTTAAGAAGAACTGTGATAAATAACAAACTAATTTCTAATAACTTACGATTGAAGAAATACAGACGTGTTATTTCATCAAATTTAAAATGTTGAAGAAACTTGCCATATAACAAAAAATATACTTAAATTTAAACTAGTTTTAATTAACAACTCACTCATGCCTACATTTTACTAGGCTAGGATTATACTGTGAAAGTAACACATTAATAATACTAATAGAAATGGTCACTTGGCGATATACCCTAGCTGACATAATTAATTTGTAAAAATAACAACTTTAAAAAGAAGTTAAGAAAATAATACTTTTTTTTAAAGAAAAGGCATTCTATAAGAAAATAATACTTTTAGAAAAGAATGTTATTAGTTCTAGTTTCCTACCACTAAATTATATATGTTTTTTTGAAGAAATTCACTAAAATATGTTCCTTAATTTTGACTTCCAACTTTCTTATATGCATTATTGTAGAGTATATATATTTGTCGAGCATAATTATTAGACAAATAAAGAGACACAAGTGTTCAGCACAAAAGATGTTCGATAAAAAACGTCTAAGAGCATCTCCAGCAGTGAGATTTATTGGGATCCTTAGCAAAAGGGCATCTCAGATTAAAATTGAATATTTCAAATTTTTCTAAAAAAAAAAAAAAAAAAAATCTAACCAATCACGGGTCGCCACATGTAAATGGGACCCGTGAATAGTGAACAGATTCATCAGATTTAATCTTTAGCTAAGGATTTTCATGGCACATAAACCTAAAATTAGTAGGTCCCATATAATTTTATATTATTTTTTTTTTAAGGAATTGTTGTTAAGGACCCTCCATTGAAGTTGGTCTAAGATCTTCAGCTTAACACCTCAGTATATTTTTAGTTCAGAAAGAAAACACCTCAGTATATTAGTTCAAAAAGAAAACACCTCAGCATTTTGCCGTTGACCATAATTTGTAAGTAAATAAAAAATGCATGTGTACGACGATTTATACAAATTTAGGGACACAAATCTTTATAAAGAGCGTTCAACACCTCTAACAATGGCTGGCTAATTTCGAATTCAAAGTCAAAATAACTTACATAAATTAAAACTATTTTGACTTGAATTCGAAATTAGCCAGCTATCATTGGAGGTGATCAATTTGATTCACTGGATAAGATTAATTTGGGAAGATTTGAATTTGAGGATTTTTCTCTTGATAAATCAGAATTGGAAGCTATTTTGTTTGGCGGAGAAGGTGAAAATGAGAACAATGATGAATTGGATATTTGATTTTGAAACTTGAATTATTATTTCTATGTCATGTTGGGTTTTTCTTGTTAAATCGTTATGTTTAACTTCACTATTTATATTATCTGTTGGATTCTTATTATTTAAACTTTTATTTTATTTAGTGTTTCAATATATATATATATATATACACACATATATATAAACATTTTCAAAAAATACCCGTTTCCTAAATATTTTAATTTTTTTATTCTATGTTTTCGCTTCCACGTCCCCATTTCTGATTTCATGCCGCATAGATTACTTCTACATACTTCATTTGTCTCATTAAATGTAATTTTAATTTTGTATACACAACAGATTAAAAAAATACCAATTTTATATATTTCTATATTAAAATATAATTATTTATATATCTAATTATATTTCAACTAATAAAAAAATTATAATAGAAGATTTATATATTTTATATTAAAAATCTAGAACAATACTTATTATGTAACAAAAAAGTTTCTTTAGAATGATACTTAATATAAAATGCAGAGAATAATTTTTAAAAACAGATATTCTGCTTCGTACCAAGCAAAATATGTAATAAAGCTACTTTAGTTTTGGGCATCATTCCAACTCCGAATTCAAATAGTATATGGTCTTTCTTTTTTCATAAAATCAGCATTTAAAAGTGTGCAGAACACACACCAAATACATTAATAACTTTTTAAGCTTCTCTGTATGCTTATGGTTCTTCCCTTTTTAAATAATAACATACAAAATATGCGAATTTTTAATTTATATAGTGATACGTTGATAATACTATCATAAGTTGTTAATGTCGTCATGGTTATAAAAAATTGCTGTATACAGTCATCAGACAATAAACAGAACAAATATAATTTGTATAGTCAAATTTGTTTTGTTTTTCTTTAATATAGATGATCCAGACTGTGCGGGAAAAGCAGAATAGTATGATTACAAAACTTGCAATCTCATCTGCTATAAAGCTAATCATGTATCGCAGAAATTGAACGAAGAGCAATACTTTAAGGTGATGCAGGGTTTTTGGTCAGACATTGAATTATAATCTGTTTAAAAACTTTAAACTAGTCTAATTTCACCAATCATATCCCTAACTAAAACCTATTACCAGAAAATAAAGATTTTAGTCAAAAACTAATTTCTTTTTGGAAACCTTTACAAATGCAGGTGTTACATCAAACTTTTTTTTCTGAACATTATGTTATATCAAACTTTGACAAAAAAAAGTGTTACATCAAACTTGGTCGATAGCAAAAGCAAAATCAAAAAGAAATTTAATTAAAAGAAAGAAAGAAAAGAAAAGCCACTATACAAAACTACACATATCATACACAAAAAAATGTAAATTACAAAGATGTTATCGAGTTGATGTTGCACCACCGCAGCACAATAGAACACACTGATAACATAGTTTTGTTTTATTTATGATAAATACACAATATGTACTTTCTTTTTCAAAAATGTTTTATATTTATACACATGCTTTTTAAGTCAGGGTATATTTTTTCCATCGTTTCAAGTGTATGTTTTGAATCTTGTAGTCTGTTTTCCTGTTTGGACTTTAGTTTTCCTTGCTATGTTTCAATAGATTTAATTGTTTTTTGTCGATTTTATTTCTTATTTTGTATTTAAAGTTGTATCTGTCAAAAATTAAATTATAAAATTCTAGATGATAACAAAAATAAAGATTTGTACCGACTCTTTTGTTAGGCTAGTTTTGGAGGTATCCTAAATATTATGGATAAATACATGGCCAAAATCAAATGCAAGTTGACTATCATGAAAAATATAAGTGTAAAATAGATTTTCTTTTAAAGTATTAAAGATATAGATCATAAATCGAGAGTTTGCCATCTAAAAGTAAAAACATTATAGTGTTAATTTTCATGCATTAACTACAATACTAAACATGTTTGTTCTGTCTTAGCATCATAAATCTTTTTTTTTTTAATATAGCCAGTAATTACTTAAATTATATGGGTTTTAGAACGATGAAAAACGTTCTCATTTCACATATATGCTAGCTAGGATCACATTTATAATCCCAACACTCTTGAGTTATCCAGAAAAAACAACTTGAAAAATCTAAACAAAAATGGCAAACGAGCAAAACAGAAAAGACTCGTGTAATGCTTGTAGCTTTAACTGAGAAGGCAAGAAAAAAAAATGAAAATGAGAAGAGAGAGAGAGAAGTGGGCAAATCTTGAGAGAGAGGTTGGTCCATCTGTCTCCATAAATGAGAATGATGCTTTGATTGCTTTCCTCTTTTCCTCCATTCCTTTTTCTCATTCTTCTTCTTCTTACTCTCATTTTACAGCCCATTTCCACTTATATCTTATTCTTCTCTCCCATGATTATAAGCACTAATCTCGAGAAAGATAAAGTAACTACCTCCCTCTCTCTTGTTCCTTCTGTTTCAAAGTTTCTTCCTTTTTGGGCGGGTTTTCAGGAAGTTTTGGTCTTTTCTCTTTTCAGAGACTTCTCTTTAGTTTCTTGTAGTTGTGGGTTTTTGTTTCTAGTTTCTTGGTAGTGTGTCACGCTTTTTCCTCTCTACCAAACTGTGAAAGCCTTGTAATAAAAGTTTCCGTTTTGTTTTTTCTATTGTTAAGGTTTCCCCTTCCTCTTTTTTGGTGGAGAACTATTTGAATTTTGTGGGTGGGGATATTATAAGGTTGTGTGTAATCAATCTCTAAGTTGTTTTGTGTAGTGATGAGTACTGAGGAGAAGCCTCTTAATCGTGGTTCTGCCCCTTCTTCAAATCAGGTACATGTACACAACACATAGAACATATGTATGTTTGCAAGTATGATTCTTGGTTTCAATGATTGTTAATCTTTTGAATGAATTACTTGTGTCTGTTAAATAAGTTGTGGTTCTTGAATTGAACTGAAAAGATGAGAGTTTTGTTGTGCTAACTACTTGCCAAAGATTGATTGATATGTTTGAGAATATACTTTTGGAAAAGATCTAATTGATCTGAGATCCTAGTGTTGTTAGCTGCATCACTTCTCTTGTGGTGGATCAGTTGTGTTGTTTAAGCTCTCATAGAACTATTTTGTTTACTTTCATCTTTGTTCTTGATAAGAAGGCCGAAGAAGGATCCTCCTCTGCTATAACAGAAGAGACTTCTGCAAGCGTTCAACAATGGAGACGTAACAATCTCTCCTTACAGATACCTTCTAGAGCAACCAATCTCTCTCCTGAAGATTCTGTTGTAATCAAAATGCCTCCAACGCCTAGTCCAACTCCAAGAAGAGTGAACTTTTCTTTGACTTCAGCTTCTCCAGGTCCTGGTCCTGGTCCTACTTCCTCATCTTCTGCCGGTCCTCAGCGGACTAAATCTTCCTTGAAGAATCTAATCCCAAAAGTTGGCTTCAAACCAAAAGCCTCTAACACAGATGTGGAGAAGGGACAAGGGGATGTGTCTTGTCCTTCTGCATTGCAGGAGAAGGCTTCCATATCGAGGTCACTATCACTGTCAAAGCTATTTACGCCTAGGATCAAGAGAACTTCATCTCTACCTGTGACCCCCATTGTTCTTTCAAACTCAGAGTCAGCTCATGGAGGAAGCAGCGTTACTCCACAAAATCCAAGCGTAAGGTTCCTCTTGTGTAGTTTTAGAGTTCGTTTAGGTACTTATACTTGGTATATTGCAGAGCAAAGAAAGGGTGCATATAGCTCGCTCTCGCTCTGTGCCTGTTAATGACAAGGAAGCAAGCCTAAAGGGAATGGATTCATTCTTTAGAGTGATTCCTTCAACTCCTCGTGTAAAGGAAGGAGACGTTTTCTTAAATGCGTCAGAGTCTGTTAATACTGGTAAGTTCATGGTTCATTCGGTTGTATGGTTGTCTATTTATAGTAAATCTTATCTTTGATTTATTTGAACAGAAACATGTGAAGCTGATGGAGAAGACATACCTGAGGATGAAGCAGTTTGCAGGATTTGTTTAGTGGATCTCTGTGAAGGAGGAGAAACCTTAAAAATGGAGTGTAGTTGCAAAGGAGAGCTTGCTCTTGCTCACAAAGACTGTGCTCTTAAATGGTTCACCATAAAGGGTAACAAGACCTGTGAGGTGTGTAAACAAGAAGTTAAGAACTTACCTGTAACACTCTTACGGATCCAAAGCATTAGAAACTCTGGAGTTCCTCAGATTGATGTCACTGGCTACAGGTAAAAACACACTTATATTTCTCATTCTTGTAACTTGCCTTAAACATTTGCATTGTTTCTCTACAGGGTTTGGCAGGAGGTGCCGATTCTAGTAATCATTAGCATGCTTGCTTACTTTTGTTTCCTGGAGCAGCTCCTGGTAAACCATCTCTACTATTCTATGCTAACAACAAGTAGCATCTATACTAAGTATAAGAGTAAGTTTCCATTTGCAGGTTGAGAAAATGGGTACGGGTGCAATAGCTATATCACTGCCGTTTTCTTGTATTCTTGGCCTTCTTGCATCAATGACTGCATCAACCATGGGTATGTAGTACTCCTCTTTTTGAAAAAGCTCTTTCACTGTCTTCCTAGTTTCTGATATGTTTTTGGTTAATGGGTTAAATATTTTTGCAGTAATGAGAAGATTTGTTTGGATTTACGCATCTGTACAGTTTGCTTTGGTTGTTCTCTTCGCCCATGTATTTTATTCCGTGGTTAGTACTCTTCAAGACATCTCTTCATATTTTATTATACCTCCGTAGTTGTTTGTAGTTAAAGTGTCCTCTCTTGGTGGTAACTGGTAACAGGTGGAGTTGCAACCGGTTCTGTCAGTGCTTCTGTCAACATTTGCTGGATTTGGTGTGTGCATATGCGGAAGTTCAGTGATGGTTGAGTTTGTTAGATGGAGAAGAAGATGGCTAGCCAGAAGGCTGGAGCAGCAGCTGAACAATGCTCAGACGCTGCCCCAAACGATGGATGCAACAACCTCTCAGCATCATCCAAATGCCTTGTAGAGGCAGGAAGTGGAAAAATGATTTTACATTTATACAGTAGTTTGTTAAAGTTATGTGATAAAAGAATGCTTAAAAAAGATTGTTCATTTGTTTGTCTTTGCTTTCTTTACTATACACACCGTTTGTATTGTTTGTAAGTTTGTAACTTTGACTACTCAATCTCTGCAAATTAAATGTTTGTAGTAGTATTGCTTTGTAAAGTTCTCATGTACAATAAAATTGTTATGAAATAGTTTAAATGTTGTATCAATTCTTGGAAAGTTTAGGCTTTTACAAGTTAACAAAGTAGTCTAAGCTCTAAGGAAAGACTTAAATAAACAAAATCAACTGTTTCATTAATTATTTTTGAAAGATTTTGCATAATTCTATTTAAAAAAAAAAACTAGATAACATCATCATATACAGTATAAACTCTATAAATTAATATATACTAAAATTCTCTATAAAATAATATAGTTTTATAGTATCAAATTGAATTTTTGGTTCAATTAATATATTGATAAATTAATAATTCCCACTAAAATTTATAGTTTTGGTGTAATCCCAACATTATTAATTTATAAAAGTTTCACTGTAATCTTTAATTTCTTACATATTTAAAGTTTTTTTTTTTGCATAACTCTGAAATTTAAATTGGTTATCTTTCTGATTAATATGTGGATTAGGAAAAATAATGAAATTGACAAAAGGTCACGAGGCAATCACGTGGCAAATACGAAGGAAAGATTGTTCTTCTCCTCTGTTCCTGACTTTGGCAAAACCCTTCGCCCTTCTCTAGCCGGCGGTGAACGTCAAAGCCGAAAGATTACAGCGATGAACTTCTCCACAAGGCTCGCTGAGAAGCTTCCCGGCATCTTACCGGTGCCCTCTCATCCTCTCCTGCGTAAAGGTTCTCTTTTTCAATCTGTTTCCTCCTCTGCCCTCCTTCCTGGTTTCCCTTATTGCTTCTTCGTTTTCTGTCCTAATGAGATTAAATGAAATCAAATAGAAACATATGTTTCTAGGTCTCTCTTCTTTTCTAATTCCTAGTCAAAAGTCTCCTCCTTTGTCGGAAACTTTTCGTGTCTGAATCCTAACATGTGAACTGTTATGTAAAAGAGCAAAACTGTTATGTTTTTGTGGAAGATGAAAGCTTAATGAGCATTCTCTTCTCATGTGTATTAGGACCCATCTCCGAGTTAAGATTCTTTGCAACTTCTAACCATAGTAGAAGATTGAGATTGAGATTACAAAAGAACATGGTTTGGAGTTTGCAGAGAGCAGAGCTCTGTGTAGTAACCAATTCAAGCATAGTTCATCCAGCAACAGAAGCTTATGCACAAGAAGCTATAGAAGCAATCAAATCAGAGAAAGTTATTGCTGTGCCTACAGACACGCTTTATGGATTCGCCTGTGATGCTTGGTAATGTTCAAACAAAATCTTTAAGCTTTGCATTTTACCAAACTAAATGATGGCTTTTATATAAACATACAACAGTTCTTTAGAAGCGGTTAACCGGATATATGAGATCAAGGGTCGTAAGCTTACAAGCCCTTTAGCTATATGCGTTGGGGATGTATCAGATATCAAGAGAGTTGCTACAACAAACCACTTACCTCACGGTTTACTCGACTCGCTCTTGCCCGGTCCAGTCACTCTCGTCCTTCAACGAGGTTTTTGCATCTCTTCTTTTTAATTGCTTTTCATAGAGATGATCTCTTTTATGTGAGAGTGTTCTTGTTAGTGTTTTCAAAACAGGTGAGTCGAGTATTCTTGAAAAGTCGTTAAACCCGGGGATTGATACTATTGGAGTACGTGTTCCGGATAGTGAGTTTATTAGGGAAGTATCGAGAGGTTCGGGAAGTGTTTTGGCACTTACGAGTGCTAATCTAAGCGGTGATAGAAGCAGCGTTTGTGTCAATGACTTTGAGAATCTTTGGCAGCACTGTGCTTATGTTTATGATGGTGGTTTGCTTCCGTCGGGTCGTGCAGGGTCAACAATAGTTGATTTGAGTAGAGTTGGGAAGTATAAGATTATTAGACCTGGAAGGTATGTGACTGAGAGATGTTTTTGTTGGTTAGATCAAATCAATGGTTGAATCTTTGTGAGGTGATTACTTAAAAAGAGTGTTTTTTCTTTGTTGTTGTTGTTGGGTTCAGTGCGAAGGAAGCAACAGTGGCGATACTTGAGAAGTATTTGCTGGAAGAGGAAGAAGAAGCTGGTTAAAGCGTTGATCTGACTTTAAAGAATTTGAAGGTTTTGTTATGGTTCTTACTTGATTTTTGGTATTGGTTTTTATCATATGTAGACACTATACATTGAAGTGTTGTAATACGAGAAGATTGTTGATTTTGAGCGTGTTGCCACCACTAACATTAGTCGTCAGCGTTTGTAATTTAAAGGAATTTTTGGACTGTTTTGTAATTTCACTAAATTTCTTATTGGTCCATTTGGAACTCCAGTAAAAATCGAAAAAGTTGATCTATTTATAACCTTGGAACTATGGGTAGGACTTTTATCCGGGATCCGGATCAGATCTGGGCACCTCCGGATATCTAAATTTCAGAGCGGATCCGGATCCGAAATTAAGATATCCGGAGGTGCCCAGATCCGAATTCAAATAGTAAAATTTCAGATCCGTGCAAATTGAATCCGGATCCGGATATCTTAATTTTTAAGTTCGGATATTCGAATTCGGATCTGTATTTTTAAATATATATTAATTTTTTTACTTTATTATTAACTCTATCTGATATATTAATATTTATATATAAAATAAATTTATAATATTCTATTTTAATATTAATATTATTATATTTCATATATATATTCATAAATTATGCATAAATATTTAATTTATATATATATTTTTTAAATTGATTATTTTTTAAATTTTTCATTATTTTTACGGATACGAATCCGAATCCGAATACCCACAGATATCACAATATCTAGACGGATATTCGAAGCTCGGATATCCAAAAGACACGAATCCGGATTCGGATACTTCAAATTTCTTGGATATCCGGATCCGTCTCAGCCCTATTTGGAAATGTAGGATGATAGATACTCACTCTCTTCAAAATGATTCATATTCTAGAAAAAAAAATTGTTTCAAAAAATCAAAATTTTTTTAGTATTTTCAATACATGTAATAATGATAAATAATAAAAAAATTTAAAATTATATTTATTAAATTTTGATTTGTTACCAATTATAGTTAATGGATAAACACAAAAAAGATAGTATATTTATATATTTTAAGTATTTTTGTGATAATTACAAAATACAAAGAAAAGAGGAAGTACATCATCTGATAAATAGTTGGTAATCTTGTACGATTAATTTCCAGTTATTTTTTGAATAAAATTAGTAGGAAATTTAAAACGTGTAAAAATAAATTGTTTGATGAATTTTTTATGAAAACTATAAAAATTCTCTAAAAAAGATTCCCAACCCATATGCTCCTATTTTAAAAATACGTTTACATGTTTTAATTAAGAGCTCAAAGTTGAAGAAAAGATAATTAAGGCCTTACTTTACAATTTAAAAAAACATTTAAGTTCCACATGTCTGTGCTCTGTTTTTTCTCGTCTTGTTGTCCAAAAAAACGTTTTATCCACAGAGTTTTAATTGACAAGGAAGATCAATCAAAATCCCTCTCAAACTCTTCTCACCACTAGTTTTTCTTCCTCTCGAACATTCCCTCTTCTCTTATTTTTGATTCCTTTAGCTTTGAACTGTGTGTTTCTCAGCTGCGTGTTCTCCCCTCGCGCCTGCCTTCAGGTACTGTTTCTTCATACCTTCTTCTGCTAACTTTCTCAGATTTGTAGAGAAAACAAAGTAAAAGTATTATCCTTTTATGAAAATTAGTTTCTCTCCAACTGAAAAATTACTCTTTTTCTTTTGATTTCTTATTCAGATTCAGAAATTGAAGCAAAAAATTCAATTTTGCATGATCTTTTTTTCTTTGTAGCATGGCTTCAATTTTGCATGATCTTCCTTGTAACTAAACTGGATACAGGAAGAGTTGAATAGCTATGTGTTTTCTAGTGAGCTGATTTTGTTCTGTGACCATGCAGTTACTTTGAAAAAAAATGGCGACTGGGGTATTGCCAGCTCCCTTCTCCGGGGTCAAGATCTCAGATTCGAAACTCGGGTTTGGTAAAAACATGAATATTGTGAGAATTTGTGATTTGAGAAGCTTAAGATCTGCGAGGAGAAGAGTTTCAGTGATCAGGAGTTCGAATCAAGGCTCTGATCTAGCTGAGCTTCAACCTGCTTCAGAAGGAAGCCCTCTCTTAGGTATAATATGCATCTAAATTGCCATTTTTTTAGCTTCACAGTGATTGATTTTGCATTGTTGTATTGGGGTTTTGTAGTGCCAAGACAGAAATATTGTGAGTCATTGCATAAGACGGTGAGAAGGAAGACTTGTACTGTTATGGTTGGAGATGTCGCACTTGGCAGCGACCATCCCATAAGGATTCAAACCATGACTACTTCCGATACAAAGGATGTTGCTGCTACTGTTGACGAGGTTCTTTGCATATGGACCGATCACTGAAAATTTTGGTGTCAGATACTTGAACTGTTGCTGTTCCATTGACAATATAGAGACTTGGTTCTGTGATTGTGTAGGTTATGAGGATAGCGGATAAAGGGGCGGACATTGTGAGGATTACTGTTCAAGGGAAGAAAGAGGCAGATGCATGCTTTGAAATCAAAGATAAACTTGTTCAGCTTAAGTAAGTTTATAACCATACCCGAGTCTCCTGCTACGCGTTGTTAGTGTTTTGAGTAGTATGAAACTGAATCGGTGTTTTTTGATGTGTGTGTGTGTGTTCCAGTTACAATATACCCCTTGTGGCGGATATTCATTTTGCTCCTACTGTAGCCTTGCGTGTAGCTGAATGCTTTGACAAGATCCGTGTCAACCCTGGAAATTTTGGTACACTTTCTTTTCTTCTTCTTTTGTGTCTCTCGCTTGGTTCTTTAACTCAAGCATGAATGATTGTTTTTTTGCCTTTGTAGCGGACAGACGGGCACAGTTTGAGACAATTGAGTATACAGAAGATGAATACCAGAAAGAACTTCAGCATATTGAGCAGGTATATAGAAATCATTTGCTGTCATTTTGTCTTGTAATGAGAGACCTGTAATGTATTAATCAGTCTAAAATCTCTTTTCTCCTTAGGTCTTCACTCCTTTAGTTGAGAAATGCAAAAAGTATGGGAGAGCAATGCGTATTGGAACCAACCATGGAAGTCTTTCTGACCGTATCATGAGCTATTATGGTGATTCTCCACGAGGAATGGTTGAATCAGCGTTTGAGTTTGCACGGATATGTCGGAAACTAGACTACCACAACTTCGTTTTCTCGATGAAAGCTAGCAACCCGGTGATCATGGTCCAGGCGTACCGTTTACTCGTGGCTGAGATGTATGTTCATGGATGGGATTATCCTCTGCATTTGGGAGTCACTGAGGCAGGAGAAGGTGAAGATGGACGGATGAAATCTGCTATTGGAATTGGGACGCTCCTTCAGGTACATAGGGGAAATATATTTTCTTTTTGATAATTCATAATAACGTTATGATTGTTGTGAGTGCAGGATGGACTTGGTGACACAATAAGAGTTTCGCTGACTGAGCCTCCAGAAGAGGAGATTGATCCGTGTAAGAGATTGGCTAACCTCGGGACAAAAGCTGCTGAACTTCAACAAGGCGTTGTATGAATGATTCTTCTTCAGATGCTTCTCTACTATGGTTTTCACTTCCCTGTGGCTAATGCAATCATTTTGTGTATTAGGCACCGTTTGAAGAAAAGCATAGGCATTACTTTGATTTTCAGCGTAGGACAGGTGATCTGCCTGTACAAAAAGAGGTAAAGACTTGTATATTTTTAAAAGGAATTTAAAAGAAAAAAGTTATCAATGATTCTTCCGGTACAAACTGTAGGGAGAAGAGGTTGATTACAGAAACGTCCTTCACCGTGATGGTTCTGTTCTGATGACAGTTTCTCTAGATCAACTAAAGGTGAGCATTTATAAATACTCTTGTCTTCTTCTTCTACATTTATATAACGCAAAATGTTAAAAGGATCATTGTCTTTTCTAGGCACCTGAACTACTCTACAGATCCCTCGCTACAAAGCTTATCGTGGGCATGCCATTCAAGGTGAGATAAAGGCTCACTTTATTTTCATGAGAGAAGCAGAAAGTGATGTTTTACCGGTTCTTACTTTATCGAGTAATGCTTTGTGTAGGATCTGGCAACAGTTGATTCAATCTTACTAAGGGAGCTACCACCTGTAGATGATCACGTAGCTGTAAGAAGCACCATATCATTTTCTCTTAAGATTTGACATTGGGTGGATATAAACATTGAGTTATTTTTACAGCGTTTGGCTCTTAAACGGTTGATCGATGTAAGTATGGGAGTCATAGCACCTTTATCAGAGCAACTCACAAAGCCATTGCCCAATGCGATGGTTCTTGTCAACCTCAAGGAACTATCTGGTGGTGCTTACAAGCTTCTCCCTGAAGGTGACTCAAACAGAAACTTCCTGAGAAAAAATCAGCTTTTTTTTGGTTTTCTTAGCTTCGGTTTATTTCAGGTACACGCTTGGTTGTCTCTGTAAGAGGTGATGAGCCATACGAGGAGCTTGAAGTACTCAAGAACATCGACGCTACTATGATTCTCCATGATGTACCCTTCAATGAAGACAAAGTTAGCAGAGTACATGCAGCTAGGAGGTAATAATAATATAATTGAAAGTTATGACCTTTTATAAGCTAACTGATACTCTTCTTGTCTTGTCTTCTTTTTTTTGTAGACTATTCGAGTTCCTATCAGAGAATTCAGTTAATTTCCCCGTCATTCACCACATTAACTTCCCAACTGGGATTCACAGGTAGAGATAACGACTGAAAGTTTGTCATCAGAACTTTGATATGATATGATAGTTTCTCTTCTTGTTGCAGGGACGAGCTGGTGATCCACGCAGGGACATACGCAGGAGCACTTTTAGTGGATGGACTTGGAGACGGTGTAATGCTAGAAGCACCTGATCAAGATTTCGAGTTCCTTAGGAACACTTCTTTCAACTTGTTACAAGGTTGCAGAATGCGTAACACCAAAACGGTATATATATATAAGCACAACCATTTCTCTTTTTTTTTGGGCAAAGCACAACCATTTCTCTATTTTCGAATCTTTCCTTAGAAAAAGTAGTCACAATGAATTGTTTGTTGCAGGAATATGTATCGTGCCCGTCTTGTGGAAGAACTCTGTTCGATTTGCAAGAAATCAGTGCTGAGATCAGAGAAAAGACTTCACATTTGCCTGGCGTTTCGGTTAGCAAAAACCAAACTTTCTTCCTACAAAATATTATTTGTTTTTCTTTTTGGAGTGTCTAAACGAATGAAGTGTGAATAATGGTGCAGATTGCAATAATGGGTTGCATTGTGAATGGACCTGGAGAAATGGCTGATGCTGATTTCGGTTATGTAGGCGGTTCTCCCGGGAAAATCGACCTTTACGTTGGAAAGGTGGTGACACCTTTTTAAGTCTATAGTTTCTTGGATCTTTTGAAGTGAATGTGTTTTTATATTCAGTTTTAAAATTTTTGTGGACAGACGGTGGTGAAGCGTGGAATTGCCATGTCGGAGGCAACTGATGCTCTGATCGGTCTGATCAAAGAACATGGTCGTTGGGTGGACCCACCGGTGGCTGATGAGTAGAGATTCATTGTTAGTTCCAATGGCAAAAGATGGATCATTTTCTGAAAATTGAGAGGGGGAGAGAAGAAGATATATGTGTATGTATGTATGTATATACATATACCTATTTGTTGTGTATTGCATCATATTCAACAATAGCCAAATCTCTAAAACTGATAGCAGTTCTGAGTTTAAATAATACACAACACAAGCAAGTTAGCCGAAGTTACTAGCTTTGCACTTTAATTGTTACCGTAATAATGTGTTAGTTCAGATCATATTTTACACTAAAATAAAATAACTCTATTATATTGTAAATTTTGTTCCAATGATTTACTTTAAAATAGAGATACTCTATTACAGAATAAAATATAGAGGAATGTCAAATTTTCATTCTATATTTAGAGTAAAATAATAGTATTACTCTATATTTCATTCTATAATAGAGTAATTCTATTATATAGTAAACCATTGGAACAAAATATACATTATAATAGAGTTACTCTATTTTAGGCTAAATTATATAAGAAAAAATAGTGTACTATTGGAGATGTCCTCAGAACAACACAAACAAAACATGTTTCAAAATTTAAAATAAAATTTATTCACCATTCTCAAATAGCCATTCTTACAATTAAAATAGACTATCATGACATGATACAAACAAGAAATTAAACTATAAGAGACATGATCGCTTCTTTTATTCTACATATTATTGGGATGCTAACATTATTGTTTATTTTTACATCTATACCTATCTTATTAAAACAGGAACACATGTGATTGTGAGCTTTTGTTTTTGTTAAAAATTATTTGATGGGAGTTAGAGAGAATAAAAGGATGGGATTTTAATCAAAAAGGCAGCAGCAAACGGGACCATCGGGTCTAGCCAAGAGGCAGTGGCCACCCATGGCTGGAGGGTCGGTTTTTCGATGGCAATGAACGTCGCAGTCGCTGTCCTGTTTGCATGTTCCTCTCAAGCGGCACGGTCCATCCAATATATCATCCTTTCCTGGTTCTTTTTGTTTTCAGTTCAATTCAAGAAAACTGTATTAGGTTTGTTACCATGATCACATACTATACATGGTGTTGTCACAGATCAAATAATAAAACTTTTTGTATAGAAAACGTTTTGTAGAAACAAACATAAACATCTTTGAATGTAATAAACCTAATAAAGATTAATGGGAACGGTTAGACACCATGAGATTTGGCAGAAATAACGAGAGAGAAGATGACGAGAAGGGCAACAAGTTGAAATCTTGATGACGCCATTTTTTTGCAGTTTGTTTTCTTTTCCTTTTTTTTTTCTTTTGTAGTAGTAGTGCAAGTTATTCAACTAAAAATCTTGTGCTTGGAAAATTATGATCGATTCTTGGGGGCTTTATACGTGTAGTTAGTTTTTAAAATAGTAAGTTCTCTTCTTTTTCTTTTCTCTTTTCAAAAATAGTCAAGATAATTAGTGGTTAATGTAGCAATAAACGAATATAAAGCTCCTCAAAATAGAACTAGCTTTCGTTTCTTACATCTAATTTTAGTGAGAGATGAGAAAGAATGAATGGTAGAGAGAGTAACTTTAATTTACTCAAGTCAAATTCGTTTAGCTATCATTTTCCTGGAAAATTATACAAAATATGAATTATTTATTTGTAAGAGATCATATTTGAGGGTAATTTAGTGTAAAGAAAGAAGATCATCACAATTCCTACGATCAATTTTACCAAAAAAAAAAAAAGAAGATCATCAGAATTCCTACGGTCAACTTAATCCCTAAAACCACATTTGACAGTATCTGATTACACGTTACACTAATCAGTATTTTATTCTCTTCTAATAACTTGTTAATGTGATAAATATTAATGTACAACTTCTTTTTACCATAATAATAATAATAATAATAATAATAATAATAATAATAATAATAATAATAATAATGTATAAGTTCTATTCTCTACAATATATTAAACTAGTGGTATTTCGGCGCGTAGTGCCGGGTTTGTATGTTTTATTATTTAATGAGTTCAAAATTATTTGTAATCCTGAAATTATCAATATGGACAAACTTTTACATTGTGTGTATGTTCTTTTAGCTGTTTTATATGCTGTTGTTGGGAGATGTTAAAATTAGATAATCGATACGAGTTTCTAGCAAACATAGATTGAGTTATTGTGTTTTGTAGTTGTTGGACATTCTTTCTTGTTGTTGTTCATTAGGATATATAGTTATTTTTACTAAATAGTAAATTAGTCATTTGTTCTAAGGGAGATTGCATTATGCATTAAGGTACAATATTTTCAAAAGTATCTTTGTGGAAAGGAGAGGTTTCTGTTTCTAAATTTCCAACGTTTGTCTTCATTTTTTTTATTGATGATTTTTGAATTATAATTTTGTTATAATTTGCTAATTATAGTTTAATTTTAGGTCAATAGATGTGTACTTCTATAATTTTACAGTCGTTTGGTTTTCATTGTTGGATACGCTGAAGAGAAAATAATAGGTTCTCGTGATATTTGAGTGTGTAGTGAAAAAGATGAATATCATGTGCCAAAAAAGGATAAGCATTTATATAATTTACATTTTCTTTTGTTTGCTTCAGTTATGGATGTTCTGTTAGTGGTTAGTGGTAATAGTCTTTAATTTTCCTTAATGTAGGAGCAAATTGCATGTGAATTTTGAAACTTTGATTGTAGGCGATTTGAGATGATTGATGAAGTAGTGATAGGACATGAAAACAACTTTATTTATTTGGACTAAGTTTGACTTATTATCCATTTAAAGTTGGATGTTATATTTCATGTGAATATAGTTTAAGCCGTAGTTATGTTGTTGGTTTACTATATATGTTCTCATACTTTGATTTCCAAGTAACTATTTTTTTGTTGCGAATCATTTTTTTTTGTCCATTTATGATGAAACAGTTTTTTTGTGAACGTTATGCATTTATCTTATTAAAGAAAAATACAAGTAAAAAATACTTCTAAACTTACAATTTAATTACAAATCAATATTACTGAAATACTAAATAACCCTAACTTTAAATAATTTTGTATTTTATACTTATTACGTTATTTCTTAAAATAATTATAAATAATATATAATATTTTGATATATTATTTTAAATATATTTAAATAATATGTTAAGATTATGTGTTTATTTAATAATAATAAGTTTGTTATATGTAAAATAAAATAAAATTAAATAAATGTAATGATCCAACTTACACTTCTTGCAAGTAGATTAAAACTGCTTATGTTTTAATAGTATTGACTAGATCTCGACCCGCACAACCGTGCGGGTATTTTAATATGAAAATATTTGATATTATATAATATTCTCTCAGTTTCAAATTAGATGATGTTTTAAAAGATTTATTTTGATTCAAATTATAAGATGTTCTAAAATTTTAAGGTATATTTTGAGGTTTTAAGGTTACTTTTAACTTTATTGGAAATTATTCAACCAAAATTTTTTTACCATTTTTTAATAATTGGTTAGATGATTTTAAACTTACATCTTTAAAAATAATTTTGTAAGAGAATGTAAATTTCTTAATATTTGTGCAAGGATCGAAAACATCATATATTAAAAAATGGAGAGAGTAAAATTTAACAATAAATAAATATAATTTGGTTATGTATACTATTCAATTTTATAATAATATTTATGTGGCTTACAATATTAATATAAAATTTATAAATTTGTATTCTTGTAACATTACTATTTATATATTTTGTTTTCTTTATAAATTTGAAATATATGTAAAAGTAAATTACATTAGATCTACATAATACGTAAATAAAATTTTTGGATATTGTTAAAAGTATTTTACGTAATTTTAATTTTTGTTTATAAATAAAAAATGAATTAAAATTTTAGTTATATTTTATCATATTTAAAATTTTAATCAAATAGTTTTTGAAAAGATATCTTGAAAAGATTCTAAAAGATTTTTTTTTAATAAAAAGATTTTGTTAGAATTTTCTTAAAACTATTTATTTGTATTTCAAATAAAAATTTAAAATATGAAAAAAATATTATAATGATGTTAAGTAAAATTTTATAAAATTTATAAAGATAATCCCAACTAAAAAATCACATATGAAGTGAGTCAGACTTCTCTTTTAATATAATAAATTTATTATTGGATGATTGAATGGGGTTTGTTATAGGCATACACTACTGCTATATTTATAGAGATAAACACTAAAATGAAAGGATGTCGAAACTTTGCTATCTAAAACTACTGCGGCATAAAGCTTGCGAAACATCGCTTCAAAAAAGTTCAGCACGGGCTTTGGTGATAACATGAGCCTCATCTGTAATGACCACAAAGAACAAACAGTGAATCCTTGTTAACTTAGAAAATTAGTTCAAAAAAAAAAAATGAAATAGAATGATTTAAGCATTTAAGCTAAAGAAGTAGCATATTTAAGAGTTTAAACTAAACTATACTCTCTCCATTTCATTTTAATTTCCATTGTAGAGTAAAATTTTCTATTTAAAATAAATGATGTTTAGAAGTTTAATGTAAAATTTATTAATTTTATATGTTATAAGATTTTTATTTTCTCTAGTATATTTTTGTATTTATAGAAATATGGTTAGGTGTATAGATAATGATAAATTTAGAAAATATATAAAATTAAATACTCTATATATTTCAATATAAGTGTCACTTTTACATATTTCACGCAGATTAAAAAAATATAATAGTATGTTATCAGTTAATGTACAATTATTTAAATAAAATAATTTAAAAATATATTTATTGGTTAGTTAAAAAGGTAAGACAATGATTATGTGGAAAAAACTGCATTGGAAATGTAAAGTGACAGTAAAACCTCTATAAATTAATAATGTTAGGACTTTGAAATTTTATTAATTTATAGAGATAGTAATGTACAAAAGTTTCTTTATTTAGATTTTTTTCTATTTTCTCTAACTTTATTTTTAAAATAATATTGCTAAATGGTAAAATGACACTTATTTTGAAACAAAAAAATGGTAAAATGACACTTACAGTAAAACCTCTATAAATTAATAATATTGGGACTTTAAAATTTTATTAATTTATAGAGATATTAATTTACAAAAGTTTCCTTATTTAGATTTTTTCTATTTTCTCTAATTTTATTTTTAAAATAAAAAATATTTTATTTTAGCATATGTATATTATTTAAATTTTATAAGTTTGACTTTTATATTGTTTATTATCTTATTTGGTGTATATTTTTATGTTTCATAGAATCGTTACATGGTTTTCGATATAATTTAACTAAATACTATCAAAATATATTGAAATGTTTAAAAAAAATAAAAGTATTTTATAGTAAATAAAAATCCCCTAACTAAATATTATCAAAATATATTAAAATATTTAGAAAAATAAAATTATTTTTATAGTAAATATAAAACCAACAATATAATGTTAGATTGTACCTATATAAAATTATATACAGCTAGATTATTAATTTATGATTTTAATGGGACTATATATTTACATGGCAGTTTTAAAAATATTATTCTTATTATTTTATCAATTTGTGTCATATTTTACACTGGTCCAAGTTGGAACCGGTAAAATTTATTAATTTATAGAGATTATTAATTTATCGAGTATTAATTTATAGAGATTCTATTGTATTCCTTAATCCATGTGTAATATTAATGACAATTAAAATGAATGGAGAAACTAACATTTAGATCCCACATGCATTCACAGTTCACACTCTCATTCCCTCCATCGGTATTTGGTTTTTTCCCTTTCTCACAAATCGACTTCATGGTCTCATATTCTATTCAAAGGTTTAGATGATTCCCTTCCCATCTAATCTATTAAAATAGTAATAATACACTGCAAATAAAGAAGCCGTTAATCTTCTTTTCACCTTTTTAAAACAAAATTCATGAAAAACGAGCTTTTTCTCTCTGCCCCGACTCCCAATGCAGGGCTTTGGCCAGTCGCTTTCCTCCTGCCCCCTCCCTATGTTTCCCTCATTAACCACCGGTTATTTCCTTTTCTAGAAAGTTGACCTTCCCAGCTACCCTCTGCAACCTCACCAACCATGTTTTCTTTTCCTTTTTGAGTACTTTTTTTAAAATGCTTAACCTCAGAATCTTTGGTTTTACCTTCCCCGGAGTACAAGCATGGACGGTGGCGCTCTTTGTTCTTGATTCCGGCCTTCACTAGTGTTTGCTCTCCACTCTGTCGGATCTCCTCCCTTGTAGCACCGGCTAGAAATCTCAGTTTACCTGGATACCATCATCAGTGTT